CAAAAATCCTAGAAAAAATCCTAAAAAAAAGATTAATTAGCTTTATAGAAAAATATAACCTAATATCCAAGCAACAGTTTGGATTTAAAGAAAATACTTCAACTGAGGATGCTATACTAGAACTAACGGAGAAGATCCACTCATCATTGGAAAAAGGAAAACCCTGTCTTTGTCTATTTATAGACCTAAGTAAAGCATTCGACACGGTTAATCACCGCCTGTTGCTGAAAACTTTGGAAAATATTGGAATTAGAGGAAATTGCCTAGAAATATTTAGGAGTTATCTGAATGAGAGAAAACAGCTAGTTAAAATAGGTAATGAATATAGCAATTTTGAATACATAGAGTGTGGCGTACCCCAAGGTACAGTTTTGGGACCCTTGTTGTTCAATTTGTATATAAATGATATATTTCAATTAAATAGATCTGGATATATAATTGGTTATGCCGACGACACCGCAATTTTTTATGAGGCAAACAATTGGTTAGAGCTAAAGAAAAAAGTAGAAATAGATTTCACCATTATAAAAAATTGGCTTGATAACAAACTTTTAACTGTTAACTTGGACAAAACAAAATTTCTACCTTTTAGTTGTAATGTCACAGGGGCTTCTCCTTTTCAAACTTTGGAATTTCCTACAAGTGCTAACTTAATAGATATACGATCGGTCTCAGAAATGAAATACTTGGGAGTGCATATCGATACACATTTAAAATGGGATATCCAGATAAACTACATTGTTAAAAAGTTACAGTCAATTTTACATAAATTTAAACAGCTTAGTAAATGCCTACCGCAGCATGAGTTAAAAAAACTATATTCAGCACTTGTTGAAAGTCACCTGAGATATGCAATAACAGCTTGGGGTTCTGCTTTAAAGGTTCACTTAACACCGTTAGAAATAATCCAAAAAAGATTTCTAAAATTAATAATGGGCAAACTCTATAGATATCCAACCGAAAATCTATTCGCAAAAAGTAAAGTATTTGATGTCAAACAACTTCTCTTTTTTAGTACCAATGTTAAATACCATTTTGGAAATAAAAAAAACTACCAATCGCGAACACCACCACTTGACTAGAAATTACAATCTTCACACTTACCCAATAATAGTTAAAAAATCAATTTCTCAACGAGCATACTCTTATGTCGCTTTAAAATGTTACAATACTTTGCCTGAAACACTAAAAAGAATAAATAATAAAAATTTGTTTAAAACAAAGCTGCAGTTGTTTATAATGGAAAACCACAGACAATTCATATCTAATATTTTAGGATAAGTTTTACCTAAATTCCAAAATCTATTAACAAAAAAGAAAAAAAAAAAAAAAAAAAAAAAACTTATGAAATGTTATTAAAAAAAAAAAAATTAGAATTTTGCTACTTCCAAAATAAGAAACACTTACCCGGATTATACATACTTACATGACTTGACAAAACTAGCCAGATTAGACATACTTACTTGGATATAACATTAACATTATCTATTTTCTTCTATTATTAAATAAATATAATTATATATATATTTTATTTTTTTTTTTTTACCGTAATTAGAATAATTAATTCATGTAATTAGGATAATTAGATAATAGTGTATATTGTGTACAGCGAAACAAGTACTCACGTACTTATTGCTTCTTACTTTATTTTTGTAAATAATGTTTAATTGTTTCTAAAATTATTTATATTATATTGTATTTGTATACCTACATGAATAAAGTTATATTATTATTATTATTATTATTATTATTATTATTATTATTATTATAGTGATGTGCAGTGCAGCAAGGTTAATTTTTGTATTTTCAGTTATTTTTATTTAAAATAAGAAATTGAATGGACCAACGAATTAAATTTAGAAATTTTATAATTATGTGAAAATGAACCTGTCATTTGGAACCCATCATTTAGCGTGGAGTGCCCGGTTACCGAATTAAAAAGAAAGAAGGATTCTCTGATGGCATTATTTCGCCAATCGCTAAATAAAGTAAGGGCTAGTTTGAAGTCGGGTGCTGGCAGGGATGATGTGTACAAGCCTACGTGGTTGGCTTACGAAACAATGGCAAATTTTTTTCAACCAGTTTATTTTCCAAGAAAAACAATAAATACAGAGGTAAGTCATTATATTTTTGTATTTTCCAATAACAGTAGAAACTAGTTGAACGAGTTTTAGTTCATTTTCCCAATTAATTTTCGTTACGACTGTTTTTTGTTTAAATTTTGTTCAGGATTACTTGGGAAGGGCTTGTAAATAAAATATTTAGAATAAACCGATTATCAACCGTAACATTTGTTAGTTAACGCAGATCAATATATTATGTGTCAAACTGAAACCTGGCATTTCATTCTCTTATGGTAAATCTCTCTATTCAGATACTACATAATTACTGTAATATCATTGACCCTCTGGAATTTTCTTTCGTCACTGCAGCTATTTGCAGCCCTTTTTGAAACTGGTTCCAAAAGGTAAAGTGGAGCGAACTACTCTAAAACAAACTGGCCACAAGTGAGAGTATTTCTGAATAGTTGAGAAAACCTCTCACAAAATATCTTGTGACAAAGGTAAAAATTTCATTAATGATGGCAAGGCGATCCTTTGGAAAAAAATGGGGGTTAAAACCAGACATGGTATATCGGATTTATAACATGGTGGTGAGACCCATAATAACATACGCAGCTTTGGTGTGGTGGCCAAAGACACAGCAAAGGAAAGCAATAACGAGGCTTAGCAAGGTACAAAGACTTGCCTGCCTCGGAATAACGGGGGCAATGAAAACAACCCCCACTGCTGCAATGGAAGCACTAATAGGACTCCCACCTCTTCACTATGTGATACAAGGGGAGGCAAGATTAGGTGCTTACAGATTAGGGAATACACTGGGAAATCTTGACATTAGGCCAGGTCACATGAGTATCTCAAGGTTAGTGACAGGAGACGTGCTAGACATGAGATCAGACCACTTAACCAAGAGGTACTCTTTTAATACTCCCTTTGAGGTTTTAATACAGGAAAGAGCAGAGATCACCATAAGGGAGCCCAATGCCCAACGACAGGAACAAACCTGGTATACAGACGGGTCTAAGACTGCGAAAGGCACTGGGGCAGGAGTATTCTCCAAAAACCCTGATACTAACCATAGCTATGCTATAGGAATACATTCCTTGGTATTTCAGGCCGAGGTATACGCAATTTTGCAATTTGCAAAAACGAACAATAAAAGAGCTGTCGAAAATCAGCATATTCAAATAATGTCAGACAGCCAAGCGGCACTTAAGGCCATATCGAGTCAGAAAGTTACGACGAGGCTGGTATGGGAATGCATCAAAGAACTAAGAACACTGACAGACCGAAATAGAGTAAAACTATTTTGGGTGCCAGGTCACAAAGGGATCGAAGGAAACGAAAAGGCTGACGAACTTGCAAAAAGAGGGTCAAAAGAAACACCGGAACCAGACACAAACCCAGGAGTACCAAAAAGTACAGTCCGGGGTTTTATAAATGACTGGATTTGGGAACAACATATCAACTATTGCAGAAGCACCTCAAAACAGGCACATGGAAAAGCCTTCATAGGCAGACCATGTCCAAAAAGAACTGGAGAACTACTCTAAATGAATAGGAACTAGTTGAAAGTGATAACAGGGTTCATGACTGGGAACGCCCCAGTAAAGGGAGACTTGAACAAAATTGGCATGTACAATGGGGAACTCATGTGCCGACTATGTCACAAGAAACCAGAAACGGCCAAACACATACTGTGCGAATGCGAAGCTCTAGATCGCAAAAGACAGGCTCTTTTTTGGCAACCCCAGGTTGATCCAACAACGTATAGAACCCACTCACCCAAGGATCTGTACAAACTTGTACAAGGTACAAAGGTGATAGAGTGGGTGCTATGAACTAACATGGGGTAAAACACAATAAGCCAATAGGCTTCAGTGTTATTCGGAGACATATAGTCAGACGAGCCCAGGAGAGAGAGAAAAAAAAGGTAAAAATTTACATATTGTTTAAATACTTATGCCATAATGAATAATTATTTTAGGTGGCATTAATAATGCGGGTAATGTGCGCTTGTCGCGCAAATGAAATGTATACAATGAAACTTAGCGATTTACAAGATCTGGGATCAGCATTCTTGGTAAATGTACCAAATACGGAAACCAAAATTGCACGGAAATTTACAATAACAGATAATTTTTATGAGTATTGCAAAAAAAACATCAACCTCCGACCTCCATTGGTAACATCAAATTTATTATTTTTTCTACACCCGTATTATAATAATGCACTTATATGCCCATAATCCGTTTCATAATGATACCCATTATGATACAGATTTTTCATTACGATACAGATTTTTAATCAATAGAAACCTACAATTTTTCAATCAAGCATGCTGTTTGACGTTTGTCCTAGGTTCCTATGTAATTATTTTAGTTGTCAAAACGTATTAAATTTTCGTAGGTAGCTAAACTTCGATAATTATAATATTAAAATGTCTGATATTAGCGATATAGAAGACTCCTCCACACATATCGGAGAAAGCAGAAAATACAGTACAAAATATTTTACCGCAAAAATCTAGGGAAATACCAATACCTGAAGTAATACCATTAATTACAATTTTGTAGAATTTTTTATAGAAATACGAGTAATTACTGTTATTGTGTTCAATACCAATATAAATATAATATTTATAGGTCTTGATTATTTATCGGGTGTAGAAAAAATAGCGTATGCAACTCTCATGTAATGGTTATTACATGATCGTTGCATAATATACTATTTTTTAATATTCACAATGGCAAATGTACTTTACAAAAAATTGGTATAAACAAATTTACACAAATGGGGAAAGAAAGAGCAGTATTTTTTTAAACTACCAAGCTCAGAAAACTATTCAGGGCATAGCATTCGTAGATCTTCAGCGACCATAGTTTTTGACATAGGCGGTCTTATAACCGCATTAAAGCATTATGGTGAATGGAAATTTTATCCATTTAGTAATTTAGTAATTATCTCTTATCATAGCAGCATTTAACGAATATCTACAAATTATAACAAAGTAAACTATATTGTTTTTCTTTAAAATGGTTTAGCAAGCTAAGCTACAAATAATAATGAAAACGACTTACTGTTATTGTGACACCATGATGGTAAAGTTAACATTAATTTTTGGTGTGATATTTCTCAGTAAGTTTATTTTATTAGTTTGCCTTTTAAATAATCAATAATCATTAATAATGCGATATTTTTCTGAAAGTACAAAAAAATATTTCTGAATGATATATTTTTGATTTGTTGTAAACTATAAATTTAAAATAACTCTTAAGAGGTACCTTTGAAGTGGATGTTTAAGAATAATGAAAAAAGTTATACGAACTCTTCATTTTGACTAAAAATCTCCAGTTTTATAACAAATTATTCTGTGACAACCTATAGAGGGTGTCCTATTAGTGCGTAATTATTCATTATTTCAATTTGTGTTATAGACACGCAAACAAGATTTAAGTAAAAGTTAAATGGATTTAAAAAATACTTATTTCTAAAATATTTTCGGACATACAGGGTGTTGCAGTTTTGCCTGGCAAATAAAAATGTATAAGAGAAAAATTATGTTCTTTTAATATGTTCCTATATATACTTTTCATTTACAATAAAATGAAACTGAACGCAATCAACTCACAACAAATATAATTTCTTTTATCGGTCCACAAAATTATTTTCAAACTACCTATGTATCTACGTACCAAGCGCCGACAAATTATTTTGTTCACCAATTTAGCTAGCTCATTCATAAAATAATTTTTAAACAATTTGGTTATAAAAAATAGTAATAATGTTAAACGAAAACTCAATGTTGTCTTTTTAAATTATAGAACGTCAGATAGTGACCGATTTAGGTGCCCCATTTTCGCATACCAGCCTCGAAGAGGGTTGAAAAGTACATCGATGTTGAGTAGAATAAAAGAAAATTAACGAGTGGCTCTTGGGGATAACACACGGAAAATTCGATTTTCTTTATCAGAAAAAAATTTCGACCCCAAAATGCACTTATACATTCGAGTCATTCAGGAAAATATGTTTTTTGGACTAGTGACGATGTACATTTTCTTACATTCAATGGGTTTGTGTGGAAAAATGAAACAAAATCTCGATTTTTTCTTAGAAGATTACACCCTTATTTCAACCCTTTAGCCACTTGCAACATTAAGGCCTTTGGTTTTCCGAAGTCTACTGCTATTAATTAATCATATAGTGAAAACGGCTTTAGTGGAAATATGGGCAACAAATAACCTTTTATTTTTATTAGGGAAAATTGAATTTTCCATGTGTTATCACCGGGAGCCACTTGTAGATTTTCTTTCATTCTACTTAAAATCGATGTAATTTTCAACCCTCTTGTATGCGAAAATGGGGCACCTAAACCTGTCACTATCTGACGGTCTATTTTCTGTACGCTTGAAATACTCATTAATTCGTCTTCTAAAATGATCAAAACTATATTCCAGATGCAATGCGCGTACTCACGGGTGGAATTGCGTGGTCTTCCAACTATCTACGATTGTCTAAACCAAAATGTTGGTAAAGTAGGGTTTGCCGCATATATTATTTGAACTTTCGGCTTGTATTTTAGTTTCTAATTTTCTTCGTTATAACATTGATTAGAGAATTTATTTCGACATGATTGTATTTGGTTATTAATAGAGTATTTGATTACCTTGTTGCAAAAATCATATTAAATTTTTGTATAATTGTTTAAACTTTTATTTTTGTTGTTCTGAAAATTACATTATTTATATTGGCGTAAGCAACGATTTGTTTTAAAATTGTCACTAGCAATACCACTAGAGGTCAAAAAATTTCCTGGTATTAATTTGACCTCGCGTGGTATTCGGTAAGAAATTTCCACGCCGAATTATGGTTGAAAATTAAATATTTTTAAAATTTATTTTTCGTTTCTCAACAATGCAAATTATTTTCTCCAAGTCACCAGTGAAACATAAAAGGTGTTGTCGCCTTGATTGTTGAGTTGTCATGGTAACTAAGTGAGACCCTAACCTCAAATATAATTTCAGTTTTGAAGTTGTCAAGCGGCCCGACGTAAAAAAATGTTGTATTTTGACAGTTCAAAACATTAAATAACTCGCGTTTTGTTGCGATAAAGAATATTGCACAGCAAGTAAAACCAACAAAATTACCTATTTGTTTAAAAATGAATCGATTTGAAAATCATACGCTATGCAAAATATGCGTGAAGTTGTCTGATGTAATGATCAATCATTGCACCATGACTTACTTACTCGGATTAATAGAGGATTGTGGCTCCAACTTGAAAAACGAAAATTTGTTCCGAATTGTACACGAATATTTGCACCTAAACTACGCAAAATTCAAAGTGCTGAATGGGAAAAAGGTGAATAAATTAGTGTCTAAATATTATATATATTTTATTAGACATAGACACATAATTCAAAGCATCCAAAGTCCTGCATTTTCGCCATTAAGAAGAAAAGAAGTGGCCGAAGAATATAGAAAACACCTTAGCATTGTAACTAAAATGTATCAAAACTAAACCTGTTATGTGAACAAATAAAAACCAGTCTGTCAAAAATGGTCTGTTATTGTAAACGTCAAAAAATTTCCAGTATAATTCGCTGTTGGGTACCCCACGAGAAAAAAATTTCCACTAAAATACCTCCGTTGCCATGGTGATCTGTCAAAAACACGTATTTTGATTGGTTCAAAATTACAGGTGTGGAATTTTCTACTAAATTTTAGCTCTTTATCTTGTATTGTTTTCAAATGCATTTGAAACTAAATTTAAATGCAATTAAACTCTCATCTTAATCTTTTTAGATGTAAGATGTACAAGTTGACAAATTTTTAAAATCGTTTTTCTCATAAACTACTTTTTGTGACATTCAGGAGTAAAAAGTACAGGGGTGCACTTTTCATTTGTTAACAGCAAATGAATAAATAAAACTTGTCACCAATGTGTATACACAGGGTGTCCCATTAGTGCGTAATTGCGTAATATACAGAGTGTTCCATAAATAACCCACATAGCACACGGACATCTTATGGACGTCTAAAAGACGTCCTTCTGGGACATAAAGGACATCCGAGGGACGTCCTCTTTTGGTACCGGGACGTCAATCGGACGTCCAATTAACGTCCTAATGTCCCGTTTCCGTCCATCCTAGGGACGTCCATGGGACATCCAAAAAGGGTGATATCCCACTTCGGCCGTTCTCACTTCGGCCGTTTTGAAAAATCTACCTCTTTTTGTCCCATTTCGGCCGCTTGTCCTTTTCATGCGTTTCAGGTAAAACGGATACGCTGCATTTCGGCCGGTCAATGTACAGTACAGGGTGGCAATTACGCTTTGGTTTGGCAATTTTGGGAGCAGAGTTAATTATAAAAAAATATTCAAGTCGTTCAATTTAAGGCAAAAAATATTTGGAAATGTTTCATTACCGAAACAGATCTGAAATTGTGTTGCCACCACAATTAACGGACAACTTTTAAGTTATAGAAGACGGTGTTGAAGACGAAATGTTAATATTTATTAACGTATGTGAATCTTTATTAAAATATGTGAAGTATTTTTTGGAGACTAAGCATTTAAGAGCTGTTCTTTATTATTTTTTTAATTGTAAAAAGTACCGAAGATAGTCCTTCTATTATTCCGGTCATTTTTGCTCTTTTGCCGAATAAGGAAAAGAAAACCTATATAAGACTTTTTGTCCTTGCTTGTTTCAAAGTTTAAAATTTTTCTCCGAAAGTATTTACCTAAATTGGATTTTGAAGTAGTTACAATAAACGCAATAAGATATGTATTTCCAAAAACTGTCATTCAAGTCGTTTAATTTAAGAAATAATTGTAGACGAAGTGTTAATGGCATTTTAAAAGGTGATTATCTCTATTAGAAAACCAATTTGTACCTGAACTTTATTATCAGTAATTGCTTGGTAATGCATAATTATTACTAGAAATACCAAATTATGTTCAAAAAATAATAGACATGAGTATTAAATAAATACTCATAAAAAAGGATTAAAGGATTAGTTACCCTGTCATTTGGATATGTCCTTTTATGTTCTTTTCGTAAATAATAAATATTTGTTTTTATTATCAGCAAAGATTTGAAAGTGAAAGGTGTTCTTAAAAATGGACAGTGAGATTGAAATTATTGAAACCAGCAAAGGCTTATTAATGGTGGTTACAGATATCAGATAAAAGAAATTTATAAAAATGGAAATGTATCTCGGAGTTGTTCTAATAGAAACTGTGGTGGACGTGTTTCTACAACAAAAGACAAGAAACAAATTTTGGGGAAAAAAGATCATACTTGTATTTTGGATATAGCTAAAAGAGAAGTTGAAAAGTGTGTTTTTCAGTGTAAAAAGCGAGCAAGAGAAGAATTTACACCTATTCCTCAAATTGTAAGTAGTGAATTCAAAGACATTAAAAATCTAGGACTGGAGTTTGTGACCAAAATTCCTGAGTTAAATTCAGCAAAATCAAACCTTTATCGTGCCAGGCAAAAAACATTATTTGGAAATGTTTCATTACCGAAACACAGATCTGAAATTGTGTTGCCACCACAATTATCGGATAACTTTTTAGTTATAGAAGACGGTGTTGAAGATAAAATATTAATATTTAGTAACGTATGTGAATCTTTATTAAATGAAAGTAAAGTATTTTTTGGAGACGGAACATTTAAGAGCTGTTCTTTATTATTTTTTCAATTGTACACTATACATGCAGACGTAAAAAGTACCGAGGATAGTACTATTATTCCAGTAATTTTTGCTCTTTTGCCGAATAAGGAAAACAAAACTATATAAGACTTTTTTCCTTGCTTGTTTCAAAGTTTAAAAATTTTTCACCGAAAGTATATAAATTGGATTTTGAAGTAGCCTACCATAAATGCAATAAGATATGTATTTCCCAAAACTGTCATTCATGGAGGCAATTTTCACTTTAATCAGGCCATATGGCGCAAAGTTCAAGATTTAGGTTTAGTGTTATCATATCGTTATCAAAGTGAAGTACGAAATCATATTAGAATGTGTCCTGCTCTGGCTCATTTACCCGAAGAAAATATCGATGAGGGATGGCTGATTATAATGGAAACTTCACCTATGAATGATCTAGTTATTAAATTTAATGATTATTTTACTTCACAATGGTTAGATAATCCAATTATCCAAAATATTTGGATATATTCGGGGCACAGACATCGGACTACAGACGCAGTGGAAGGATGGCATAGTAAATTAAATAAAAAAATTAGGAAAAGACATCCAAACATTTTCGAATTAATAACTGTATTGAAAGAGGAGGCTGCTTTAAATATAATTAAATTACAAAAAATAAATCTATACATACCAACTCCAAAAAGATTAGAATTAAAAAAACATTAAATGATTTAAGGGACAAAAATATTGACTTAAAAAATGCGTTGAACAAATTCATGTACATTACTAAATTTGAGTAAAATTGTGTTGTCATACTGTGTATTATCTATTGATTTTTTATTGTATCATTGGATTGTTTTTTCTAAAAAATATTGTAATAAAGAATTTGAGTTTATTAAATTTGTTTTTCTTTTAACTGTTTGTATATTATGCTAAAAAATTAACAAGTTTACAATATATAAACAAACGGCCGATATTATTTAAGTAATCTTAATCTAAATATCCCAAAAAGGTTGACCGGCCGAAATGCAACTTTTTTATTTAACGGCCGAAGTGGTACTAAACCTCCAAAAAGGACGTCATATCGAACTTTGCGGGACGTCCTAGGGACGTAAATCGGACGTCCAATGGACGATATTTGACCATAATCCATAAATGGTAATAATAACAAAAATATTAACAATAAAAGGGCTTTATTTAACAACTTTTATCCTGAAAAAATTAGCTAGAGTTAAACGTTTTCAGTTTACAAAAAAAAAAGAAATGAATTAAATTTAACACACAGCGCTGGTAAGATGAAACCTTGGGACCAACTTATAACTTGTATCGACATAACTGAGTTTGATAATTTTGTCCAAATTGGTTTTGTTCCAACTTTCCGCCATTAAGGTATTTTCTTTTCGCCAGTGGCTACAGCCAATACACATCACTTGTTCTCGCCTCAACACAAAACACTCATTTCACTTTATAACCACTTTACCACCAACATCAAAAAAATTACTAATAACACTATATAACCTTCTGTTTTCTTCATTAATCTAACTCACTTATATAAGTTAGTTATTTAATGCTGAAAATTGTAGCTGTTGTTGTTCATTTGAAAATAAATGATAGGTTAGGTTTTCTGTCTTCATACTCTTGCAAAAACAAAACGTTGAATTTCAAGTTATCGATTAAAAGACCAACGATGCTAGTACGTCCCATTAACGTCCTGGACTCGGACTAAAAACTAAACGGGACCAGAATAGGACGTCCAGAGGACGTCTTTCGAAGGACGTCCTAGTGTTCACGATAATTGGAAGTCCAGTGGACGTCCTATTTAGGTCCGGGACCAACCCGACGAACAAGGGACCAAATCAGAACGTCCATGGGACGTTCTGTGCTATCTGGGAAGGTGCTGATCAAACCTATACTTTTTTAAAGGAAAACACCCTGTAAGTAGTTATACATATTTTATTGTTTTCACATCGTCAAATCATTTTAATGGCCTTTACTTATTTATTATTTTGTTTATAGGATGCGTCAAAATGCAAAGGTACGATTTTCTCAATACAGAGTATTCCATATATATATATATATATATATATATATATATATATATATATATATATAAAATATAGAGTACTTATTATTTTGTGTTGGGCATAGCCGTGCTTTCACAGCCAACATGTGACAACTACGATATATTCGCTATTGCTATGCTTTCTGGCTTAGTGATTCGGCTAATATCCTACCACCATATCGTTTAATTCTAGTCGACGACTGGCTGTTGCCCTATTGTCATTTTAATAACTTATATGCTAGTAGTATGCCTAACATGAAAAAATAAGTACTATATTTGACCTGTGCAAATAAAACTATTATAGAAGCTCTAATTGATTTATTACAATAGTGATTATAAATTATTTGTTTATAAGAAGTTTTTTAAATACACAAAAATATCTTATAATGAAAATAAATTAAAACCGAATAATATATACATTTGTTTTTTTTTTTCTATTAATAAATGAATTATATTGTGTACATTGACTTATTTTTATTTTACCCATTTAAATAATTTATAAAACTTTCATAAGGAATATTTCAGCAATTTTCAAACAGAAATGGAATGAAAAGCTATAACCACCGCTTATTCATTAAGCTGTGCTATAACTATAACGTCCCAATACTTTTGTCATGCGCGACTCGATTTAAAATTCATACCTCAAGTGAGCTTATTTGTTCGTCCTATACTCTGTTTTTAAACTAAAAGGAGCGATTTGAATTTAAGTTGGCAATTCTGTAGCCTTCTGATTGGTCAGATTACAGTCAGTTTCACACATTGCTTTTTAACATGAACATCAGCTAATAATTGATATTGTTGACAGTTCTGACATTTTATAATTTGATATCTCATCCATTACTTAGTTTTTTACTTTATTTCGTAAATAATAGTTCTTTAGTAAGCAATTTTATTGAAAATCTACAATTATGGATCCTTCTACACTGAGTACTATTAAAGGTAGCAATTCCTGAAAAGCCTTACAAGAAAAGGAAGACACCTTATTTTTTTACATGCTGATTCTGAAGGTTTTGTAGAAAATGCATTATTGGTTTTTGAAGGTAAAAAGATGGGAGATTACCATGAATAGATGAATTCCAAAGTATTTTAGAAAAAAATAATTTTATTACTGATTTTTTAAAACTAAAAATTGATGAATTTCTAACCAAAATGATTAAAATGTAACTAAATATTCAAGCAAATTTTATTTATTAGAATAGAATAAAACTATTTAAAAAATTGTTATAACATTTAAAACACCATCTACTACTTTAGGGATAATCTTAATTTGGCACAATGAGTTAACATTACTTTAACAAAAAATATTTTAAAAATACTTAAAATTAATACATAGGTATGTATGAATAGTTCACTTTAAAAAATATATGTTGACATGTAGTGTTATGAAAATGTTGGTTCCAGTTTTCAAAACAAATTCTGACTCATAGGCCTGTAAACTTTTGAATGCCTTTATTTGTCCTCTAGCGCATTAGCCATGGGTTAACACTAAATAAGCCATAATATCCACATTACTCATAGGAGATACCAGTTACTATGTGATCCACTTGTCATTCACTGATTAATTTTTACTTTTTATACCTATAACAAATATATCCTTAAAAATGTAAACAGATCTTTATATTTTATACTAACCTGGCTACATCTGGATATTCCATTAACAATTTTCTTAAATATTTAATATCCATTTTAAAAAGATCATAGTTATTCTCAAAAATTCGATTTCAAAAGCAAGAAAAAAGTATTTATGACATTAATCAACATCCATATACTTTAATTTGACGGTGACATTTCGTTTTAGACACACATTTCAGATCACAATAATGTGAAATTTGCGACCGTTGTCTGGGACCAATTAAAAAATTACTTCTATGACATTTATTCGTTTCTTAACCGCTCATTGGCCGTTCACCAACTAAGGCCGATAAAGATAATTATTTCATAAATTTTGAACACGACTATATTTTGAAACTCGCTCTTAGTAACAAATCTAGTTACTTTTCCCTGTGTAAATGCGTCTTTTCAATTCGCTCCTCCTAGTTTAAAAACAGAGTATAGTATCATGATATCAAATACTTAGTGGTTTATTTGAGCCAGCCGAACTTAAATAATATCCTCTTTTTTTGGCCACTCTAAACCATATTATAATATAACAATGTTGAGTAGTAACGCCCTTCAAAATAACCAAATAACTAACTTTTAATATTTTTCGTCTCCATCTAAGATATGGAAGGACATTTAAGGTTATTTTGATAATTGTGCCCCTGTGTGGAGTCTAAGGTATTTGGAGGTGTTAGAAAGGGTTCAAATAACTTTTCTGAAGAGGATGCTATTGGTGCCTATCAATACACCTGACTGCGCAATAAGACTAGAAACTGGCAGAGTTAAATATTCCTATAATATATTCAAAATGACTTTAAACTGGCTGCATAAAATCTTAAGTATGAATGATAATTGATATCCAAAGCTTTGTTTTAATAGATAGCTTCATCTGATTAACTCTGGAGGAGTAAAATATAATTGGGCTGCTCAAGTTACTTATTTAAATTAATTGACCATGAAGACATATGGAATAATCTTGATGCTAATAACCTAAAACTAAACAAAAACAAGTTACTAACTGCTTATTACAATAAACTTTACAATTTTGATATTATAGGAATTACACGCTGTCAGTTTTTGTCCTTATATACAGCTTTTTCCACTGATAAAATTCCCCAAAAATATTTACTTCTAAAACTGCCCATACAAGTTACACGAACACTTGCACAACTCCGATTAACTAATAAATTTCGGTTAAAATTTACACTTAATAATAATATATATGTAATAGATCCCAATAATGTTTGCACGGTATGTAACATAAATGTAAATGAATATCTTACACATATCTTGTTCGATTGTCCAATATATAATGTTATGAAACCGAAAACAAATTGTTTAAACGATCTGGAGGCTTTAATCTATGCATTAGAAAATATAACCGAACCAGATGCATGGTGTATATTTTCTTATATATGCAATGTTTTAAAATTAAGATCATTTATTTTAAATGAATAAATTATAATTAAGTAAACTTTCAGTAATAGGGTTCACGGGTGCTGGTCGATATGTGAGTGAATTTTTTTTTTATTTTTTTTATTTTTTTTTTTTTATTTATATCGCATAAATTTCTTTATGGTCGCCCTACGATCAGCATTAGTGAGCATTAGCTACTACTGGACCTATTGTTACTTTTGTTTTGAATTTTTTATTTTTTTTTTTTGTATATATTATAAAACCTTAACTCTTGCTGTAATTTAGGTTTATAAGCAATAAACGTATTATTATTATTATTATTATTATTATTATTATTATTATTATTATTATTATTATTATTATTATTATTATTATTATTATTATTATTATTATTATTATTATTATTATTATTATTATTATTATTATTATTATTATTATTATTATTATTATTATTATTATTATTATTATTATTATTATTATTTATTTGTGTTTTTTTTTTTATGTTAAGTGTTTTTAATATTAGTGATTTTTATAAATTTGTGACCTATGTATTTTTTATAAATTTGTGACCTTTGTATTTTATATAAATTTGTGACCTTTGTATTCTTTATAAATTTGTAACCTTTGTATGTTTTATATTTATTGTTGTTGTAAAACATTATCTAATTATGTAATAGGACTTCAAACGTACCATTGTATGTAAACGTTGTCAATAAACTATCTATTATTATTATTATTATTATTATTATTATTATTATTATTATTATTATTATTATTATTATTAT